GTTCGTCCTCCTCTGCTGAACCTCTGGATCCTCGTCCAACAACTTTGCCAGCTTATTTGACTGTCCACATCATCCCATTTTTCTTCTCTCAAATTTCCCATTTCTATATGTGCGTGCGTGTGTGTATATATTAGACACGTGCGCTTATACACAATGCATGATTTGTTGAACTCGCGATCGAATTCTAAATCAAACGTATTTATATCTTAATTACGATTTTGATTATCAGATAATTATACAAACTTTTTCATTCGTCGAATTGCGTTATCGAAAACTATATGTAAATTCTTTGAACTATTTTTGTATTGACGATATGCAGAGAATACGACAACTTCTCCTTCAGATTGCACGACTGAATGAGTTACTGTCATCGCGTAGGAGAGTTCGAGTAGTTCGAATCGCTTGACGAGACAGATGTGTTTGAAGACATATGATATTATATATATACTGTGTTATTTTACTGAAAAAGACTATGTATAGATGAATGATACGTATGCATATACATATACATGTCACCCGCATTGGTTGATAGAATGCTGATATTATATACGTCCCCCCGGCCCAGCAGCAATTCTTGTTAATTGCATACGATACAGATTTAATTTGAACATATATACACTAATTGTTTTTTTTTGGTTGAGCATATATACACACTTGTTAACATATAATAGAGATTGAATATGAATGTGTTGATTGATATGTTCTCTCTTTTTCTAATGTTAACGAATTACGTACTTTCACTAAAGTCATACAATCTAATTTGTTATTTATATATATATATATATATATACAATTTTCGGGCAACTATCAAAGGCAAAAAATTTATCGTTCAACTAATTAATCAATGTATTATTTGCATCAAACGTAAAATCGAAATCGAAATGAATGAAAAAGAAAAACTTATGCGGTCGATCCCAAATAAATTTGGGATTAGGGTGATGTTGTTGTATTATTTGCCTCAAATACAACAAGACAAAAAAAAAATTCATTATAGACATGCGCCACATATACGTTCTATCGACGACCATTTGTGTCGTTATTCCAAATTCTTATTTGGGTTCTTGAATGTCGACTGGATAAGATATTTGAGAAATTCAACCGCTGAAAAAATTGTGTGAAATGTATCAAATTGAATTATTGGGTCAAAATGCAAAATGTTAAATATTATAGGGGCTCAATAGGTGAATATCCAGGAACTCGGGACCTCCCACATGGAAATATGACAATCTTTCCGTCCCAGGGGCGTTTCTGTAAATTACGTCTCCGTCACTTTTTTTTTCCTTTTTTCCATCATTCTGCTCTGTTTCCGAGAGTCTCCGATCGTGCTTCCCTCACTAGCCTTTCTGTTTCTCGGCGTCGACTCGACAGATCTTTCAGTCCTTAGGATCCGCCGACAAAAAAGGTAAGCAAGTCGGTAGATCTCTCTTGTTCAAACGTCTTCTCCGTGTAGTTTCGCTCGTCGCCTTCTCTCGTCGCGCATTGGTGTTCGTAATGCCAGGGAAATCTATCCCGGAAGTTGCTTACATTCTTTGCTCCGTTTGTTGAGATGAGATTCCATGTGATCTTTTAATGTTTCGGTATATTTCTTTGCGTTGCGGGTTTTTGCTTGGATTTTGAGATTTCATGAGATCGGTTTCGCGATTTCTGCTAGAATTCAGGATTGAAGATCACTTGTTAGGGTTGATCGTATGAAAGGATTTGATCGTAGCTTCGGATAATTTCGTTCCTTATCATTGGGTTTTGTGATGCTTCTACTACTAAGCTGAAGTGTCGTAATGCTCTGTGGCCATGAGAGGCGGAAATGATGACTAGTTTAGAATTTGGTTGCTCCTTTGATGGAGACACTGAGGGACTTTCTTTGTCTGTTTGATACTTTGATTTTCGGACACCAAACTGGTGATGTTATAGATAGATATGGTGTTGTAGCCAGGATGTTACAAACTTGCAAGATTCAGAATCTTGGGAGTTGTGGTAACTAGGTGCTTCGCCACTGATGAACTTAAATTGGATTTCGAGCAAACTATGGTTAGTTAGTAAACTATCAGCGTAGTTCAGGCTCAATTAGGCTATACTTGGCTTACATTTTACAGTATTCATGGCTTCTATGGTTGAACCAGCATCATTCATTGACGGCATTGTAAAACTTTTCGCTTTTACTTCCTTCAACACATTATTTGATATGTTTACGCAACTACCATCTCAAACACCTTTCTAGATTGAGTGTTTTGTCTACTGTTGGACTACTCTTTTAACCTCATATGGTTCTTAACTTGAGTATCGATTATGTTTTCCTTCTATTTGTGAAGGGTATGCTCTGGCTGTGGTTATCTCTCCTTCTATTGGGCAGTTTCTGAGCACAAGGTATCTCGGGCTCTGCCTCTAGATTAGAGTAGACAGATGGGTCGTCTAAAGTTGCAATCTGGAATCAATGCTATTGAGGAAGAGCCCGAGGACTTTGATAGTTCTGATTCAAGCAACACAGTTACGTTAGCCTGCATGATTGATACAGAAATTGCCGCAGTTTTGGCGGTTATGAGGAGAAATGTCAGATGGGGAAGTCGATATATGTCGGGTGATGATCAGCTAGAACACTCTCTGATTCAGTCATTGAAATCTCTAAGAAAACAAATATTCTCGTGGCAGCAGCCATGGCATACAATTAGTCCAGCATTGTATCTCCGTCCTTTTCTAGATGTGATACGTTCAGATGAAACTGGAGCACCAATAACCAGCATTGCTTTGTCAGCAGTTTATAAGATTTTGACTCTTGATGTAATTGATCAAAACACTGCAAATATCGAGGATGCTATGCACTTGGTAGTTGATTCTGTGACAAGCTGCCGATTTGAGGTGGCAGATCCTGCATCTGAAGAGGTTGTGCTGATGAAGATACTTCAGGTGCTTTTGGCATGTATGAAAAATAAAGCATCAGTTGTGCTCAGCAACCAGCATGTCTGCACTGTAGTCAACACTTGTTTCCGTATTGTTCACCAAGCAGGAACAACGTGTAGCTCGCCACACCATGCATGAACTGGTTAGATGTATCTTCTCGCACCTCCCAGATATTGACAGAACAGAAAATGCCCTTGTCAATAGAGCTGGAAGCATCAAGCAAGAGGTAATTTTTTGGTATATACTTTTTTTTGGTCTGATTATCAGTCAATTTGGGTATGTAGTTTTTCTATGCCGTTCAGAAATTGAAGACAAATATGATATAACCATATAACACATGTAGACCTAAGTAGGCAAAAAAAACTGTCTCCACTTTATTGGTAAATGATAGCACAAAGATGTCCTCGACTCTCATTTTAATTGAATTCTAGATCCTACTTTAAGACTTCACTTTTGGTTAGAAGGTTATCTTCTTTCAGCAG